AGAAACTTGTCGGTCGTCCGGGGACAGGAGCGTACTGCTGGCACACTGCACATTTCCGAGTGTGATTGAAGCAATCCTGTTGGATGGTTGGCCAGTAGTACCCCTGCAGGATGATTTTTCGGGCCAAGGTATGAGAACCCTGGTGGCTGGAGCAGATGCCTTCATGTATTTCTTCAATAACGGCCGCTGCCAAGCTCGGCGGGAGGCATCTCAAGTACGGTCCGCCGAACGTCTTCTTGTAAAGTTGCCCGTCAATGAGTTCAAAATTAGGGGCACGTCTCTTTATCCAAGCTGCCCTTCCGGAGCCGCCATCATCTTCAGGTTCGGGGAGCGTCCCATCCTTGAGGTAGTCTGTGATCTCCTTCGACCAATTGGGTTCGGCGATGGAGATGGCCTCCACCTGGATGACGTCCGTCGCTGGCGCCGGGAGTATCTCTTGTCTGACGAAGCCCCTCATGTGCCGGGGGATGCTCGTCGTGGGGTAATCTGTCGGGGGATTGCCTAGCTTGGATAATATGTCAGCCTCGGCGTTCTCCACCCGCGACACCTGCTCGATTATCACTTGTTCGAATTGCGCGGCTTGCTCCTCCGCAAGTTCCTTGTAAACCTTCATCCTCTCCTCCCTGGTTTCAGCCGTCCCATTCATCTGGGTCACCACCAGCTGATTGTCCATCCTCACCTTCAGACGAGCTGCGCCGAGTGCCTTCGCACACTTCAGTCCTGCGATCAGCGCCTCGTATTCAGCCTCGTTGTTGGTGACCTTGAACTCGAACTTCATGGAGTAATAGGCCTTGAAACCCTCAGGTGAGGTAATCACTGCTCCTCCGCCACAACCTTTCGCACTCGAGGCCCCATCGGTGTACATCTCCCACCAGTTGTTGAAATCATTGTCGCCTTGGGGGTCATCCTCGGTGCGCGCAGTACATTCGGCAATGAAATCCGCCAGCGCCTGTCCTTTGATCGTCGGCCTTGGTTTGAACTCTATGTTGTACTGGCCGATCATCAGGGACCATTTGGTTATCCTTCCGCTGGCCATGGGATTCCTGAGGATCGTGGCGAGAGGCTGTGTTGTATATACTGTCACTGGGTGTGCTTGGAAGTATGGTGCCAGGCATTTGATGGATGCTATCAAGGCGAGGACCGTCTTTTCCATCAGTGTGTATCTAGTTTCTGGGCCGTTCAGCGCCTTGCTCACAAAGTATATCGGCCGCTGAATTCCCTCTGCCTCTTTCAGCAGTACAGCACTCACAGCCAGGTCTGCCACTGCCAGATACATGTACAGCTGCTCCCCCGGATCCGCTTTGGTGAGGACGAGCGGAGAGGAGAGGTATACCTTGAAATCCTCAAAGGCAGCCTGGCAGTCCGGCGTCCATTCAAAGGGGTTCGCCTTCTTCATGATCTGAAAGAAGGGGATCGCCTTGTCCGCCAGCTTTGACATGAATCGGCTCAGGGCTGCCAAGCGCCCGGTGAGTCGTTGTACGTCCTTCAGGTTTTTTGGGGCCTCCATGTCAACTATTGCCTTTACTTTCTCTGGGTTGGGCTCGATCCCGCGCTCACTCATCATGTAGCCAAGGAATTTGCCGCCCTTGACAGCAAAGGCACACTTCTTCGGATTTAACCTCATGCTAGCCCCCTCCATGATGGCGAAGATCCTCTCCATATCCCGGATGTGGTCTTCCTTCTTCTTGCTTTTGATCAGGATGTCATCCACATAAGCCTCCATGGTCTTGCCCAGTACGTCCTTGAACAACATTCCGATCATCCTCTGGAAAGTAGCCATGGCGTTCCTCAAGCCGAACGGCATGACCACATAACAGTACACGCCGTCTGCCGTGACGAACGCCGTTTTCTATGCATCATCCGGGTGCATGAACACCTGATGATATCCCCTGAATGCATCCATGAAGCTTAGCAGCTCGCAGCCCGCCGTTTCGTCTACCAGTAAGTCGATCCTCGGCACTGGATATGGATCCATCGGACAGGCCTTGTTGAGGTCCGAGTAATCGACGCACATCCGCCAAGTGTCGCCTTTTGGGGCTAATACTACATTGGCCAACCACTCCACGTGGATGACCGGCCGGATGTGCCTAATGCTGAGGAGCGTAGTAGCCTCCTTTTTTATGAAGTCTCGCCGGTCAGCCGCCATGTATCTCTTCTTTTGTTGGACGGGCTTGGCATCTGGGCGCACGGCTAGTGTGTGACATATGAGGTTGGGATCAATGCCTGGCATGTCCTCCGGCCCCCTGGCGAATAGGATCTTGAATTTCCGGAGGACGGCTATGACCCCTTCCTTGATTCCAGGCTCAAGGTCGGCGCCTATGGATACCTTCCTGTCCGAAGGGTCATCCAGCTCCACTTCTTCGAGCAGGGCAGCTGGTTCCAGACGAGCGTCGAAATCGGCTTGTGATAAGTCCATTTATGTACTTATTTTTCTTATCAAATTTAAGCAATTCTGGATTGAAAAATAGAAAAACAAGGCACATTTTATATATTTTGGTTCAAGTTTCATGAAATCGGGTAAAAATCGCATTCATAACATGTTTTGTGAAATTTCGGGTCAATTGCGTGAAGAAAGTGGCACTTTTTGCCAACAAATGAATTGATACGGAAGTTTGCAAGATATATTGACCAATTGTTCAATGAAAAAAGTCCAAGTGATGAAGAAATCATGCAAGGAAGTTCAAAACCACGAAGGAGTCACATATATGGCTACTTTTGATGAAAATGGACGATGCATAGAGACACATGTTCGTATTGTGATCATAACTTTGCGCATAATTGTCCAACGTTCGTGATACGAGTTTCATTACATTGATATCTTCCTTATCTACAACTCTTATGAAGAACACAGAGCCAAATAACCACCGTAGAATGGACATATTGCTCAAAGAAGTCAGACATTTGCAGTTGCGATGGAAAGTGACATGTGGTCACCGTTTTGACCATATCTCATAAACTACAAATCCAATGAATGCGATTCAAATTCCAGTAGTTAGCCAAGAAAGAGAGCTACAACTTTGATGAAGACAACTTTTCCATTTGACGTAAGGCGGTGGAGCAGGCGGCCGCCTTTCCGGGCGCCTACGAGTTTTTGACAGTTTCAGCACTTAACACTTTGCATGGCGACAAAATGATGGAAGGCTGCCGACGGGGGCCGGAGGGCGGCCGCCCTCTGTGGCCGCCTGCGGTGGGATGTGATTTACGAGCTGCCGGTAGCTGAGACAAGACGGGAGGCGGCCAAGGAGGGCGGCCGCCTACCGTGGACGCCTGCGGCGGAATTGACCCGTGCACGAAGCTTTGTCGGAGAAATGACCGAAGGCTGCCGGCCATGGCCGGAGGGCGGCCGCCTTCTTGGCCGCCTTCCAATAATCTCCGGCTATAAAAGCCCTCTTCCATCCCCAACTCAATACACCAATTTTCAAGCCCAAATCAGATCAAAAAGGGCGTCTTCTTCCTCCTCAAAGCTCGGATTTCCACCATTGTTGCACCTTCAACTTCAATCTTTCATATCTTTCTCATTTTAGCTCCAAATTGTGAGTTCTTTATATGTATTTTCATCCTTTCAATGAGTAGAATCTGAATCTGTACTTAGTTTTTTTTATCTGTGCTTCTAAAATTTCCAGAAAATTATTCAACTATTTCGCATTTTCGTCTTAAATTTGAATAAAATAGTTGTTGACATTAAATCCATTCCAATTAATTATATAGTTGTTTACTAGCCTCAAGGTAGTTATTTATCAAAACAAAGTTAATTTTTATGAAGTAGAAGTAAATTTTAATTAATTCTGGCATTTAGTTGTTATTATTGCGTAAATTAAATTAAATACTCAAAAAAGGAAAAAAATTAGTTTCTGTCCTAATTCCAGTTAAATTCACAGTAATATCACTCCTAGTATTCAATATAAAATTTAGAACGAATTTAGAATATTTGTAGTTGCTTTTTTTGTATTTTCTAGTTAATATTGGGAAAATTATCAATTAGTTGTTAAAATTGGATTTTAGGTTATAAAATTCGGGAAAAATTCCAGAAGGTGATATTTTAGTTCTACAAGTTTATTTTGGAAGAATACTATTTTTGTTTAATTTTTGCTATTATACATGCTTAATTCCTTGTTAATGTTGAATTTATTCATTGTATTGTTAAATGAAAAAATGATGTTTATTAGCTAAATTTGTTTTGGGCATGAATTGACTAAAGGAATATGGATTGACTTGTTGACCGAAAATTAGGGATTAAAATTAATAATTTGGACTAGTTGTTTGAAATGATGAAATAGTAATTAATAATTGTTAGCCATATTCATTAATTAAATTCTTGGAAAATTATTTCTAACTTGTCTATGAGATTAGAAAATAATTTAAGCCAACCATATTCAAGCACATTAATAAGGCCTAGAAATAGGATAATTTAATGAAAGGGATTTACATCTTGTCTATGAGAGATAAATTCAATTGCTTAAATAATGAGTTTAACTAGTTAATGAATTCGGCTATTTTTATTAATTAAAATATTGGAGAATTATTTCTACCTTGTCTATGAGGTTAGAATTTAATTCAAGCCAACCATTTTTGAACACATTAATGACACCTAGAAATAGGATAAATTAATGAAAATAGTTTCTATTCTTGTCTATGAGGAAAGAAATTATTAGTCCAATTTTAGTTTTAATTTCCCTAATTACTAGGTTCAAGAATATATCCATTTCTAATTACTCAATTCATTGCCCTTATTTGCACCAATCCATTTAAGTTTAATATTATATTTTTTCCTTTAGTCTATTTTTGAGCCATCATTAGTATTTGCACAATTTAATTTACTTTCTTTTCCAAAAAGTAGTTTAGAAAATCAATCAAAAATTTTAATTTGGAAAGCTTCCAATAATTTGCGATAACCTGTGACTGGACTTGAAATCAAGAAGCTCCTCCGCCATTCCTCGAGAGACACGATACTCGGGGAAAAACTGAAAGGTTAGACTCCGTTTTACTACAACGCCGCGAAAGCGGTTATCAGCTTGCCTGGCCTTCTCGGAGATGCTGTTGACCCGTGCTTCCCGCTCGTTGAACCTTTCCATGGCCTTCGTGTGGCAGGCCCTGGCCATGTGTGGGTCCGTGCGGGCTACCCCCACTCCAGTCTCGGTGGGGAATTTGATGCATGAGTGCCGCACGGAGCATATGGCCTCAAGATCTTCCAAGCCGGGCCGGCCCAAAATTGCGTTGTGAGCACACTTCAGGCGTACCACGACGAACGTCATTCGGATGCGGGTGGTGTGAGGTCCATCCCCGATCTCCACGGGGAGGCCGATGGTGCCCTCCGCATCGATGCAGTCCCCCGTGAAGCCAGAAAGAGGGGTGCGTAGGGGGGCCAGCTGATCCTTCCTCAGCTTCATCCCTTCGAATGCCTCCCAGTAGAGGACGTTCACGCTGCTCCCCGTGTCAACAAGGACGCGGCGGACGACCGCGTTATTGATATCCATGCTGATCACCAACTCATCCCTGTGAGGGACCGGTGACATCGGTAGGTCGGCTGGTCCAAAGGTGATGGCCTCCACCTTGTTCCTTTTAGTGGGGGGAGCTGATATGGAGCCTACATATAGGGATCTCTCAAACTTCTTCCGCTCCGCAGGTGTGTCCCCAGTTTCAGCGCCCCCGAAGATCACCTTGATCTCCAACTTCTTCTTCCCGCCGTTCGGGCCGAGGGACCCCTCCGGACGTTTATCGGCACTTCGGTAGTCTACGTCCTTCGGTTCCTGTGACACCCTAAAAATTTAAGTACAAATAAAATAATAAAAATAATAATAAATAAATAAAATAAAATAAAATAAAATAAAATAGATAAATTTTCTAATCAGATAAATTTTAACATATGAAAAATGTGACATTTATGTTAAAATTGTGATTTCATAATGTAAAGCTAATAATAGTACAATTTTGACTTTATCATTCTAATAATACTACGTATTGATCAAGTCCATGCCCATACATCAAAAGGCAAACATATGCGTACTACATTACTACTATACGTGGTATATTATGTGCAAGTCTTAAAAAGGAAAACGGCTGAAAACCCTAGACCTAGAACATTCCTGTGAGTATGTATATAAACTACGAGTCTACAATCGGCTGAGTCACCGCATCCAAACCTGCGAAGAAAAAAAAAACCAGAAAGAACTATGAATCGCCTTCTGCTATCTCCGCCGAGGAACAGGAGGAACCGCCGCTTGGGTCGCGCCAATCTCATCGCCACCATTGCTGTAAAGAAAGAGAAACCGTCGACGCCGGAGAAGCTGTACTCGCCGCACCAGGCTGCTTTCTGTTGACGTCGCGAAGCCCAGGATGGACTGATAAAGTAACAAACGCCGGAGCGCCACAGTGGTTCACGCCGGAAAAGGGAAGAAGCCGGGAACGTGGCTGCTAGACCAAACTGTTGTCGGACTGCGGAGAAAGAAGAGCCGCCGATCTGCGTCGCTGGACCGTGCCGCCGACTGCTGTTGTTGACGATGGAGGAGTGATCGAAGAGAAACACCTGCGTTGCTGCGCGCCTGCGAGGATGACGACGAACGAATACGTACGTAGCCTCATACTTCGTATATCTTCTATTTTGGGCTGAGTTCGTATGAGCTGACTTCTTTTAAATGAATTTAATCTGGACCGTTTAAGAATGTTAACTTTGGACAAATAATAAAGTATTATAAGTGCTGGCCTGGATTGAAAAAAATAAAAATAAATTAGCAGTATAGATATTAATCATAAAATTTTAATATTCTTAGAAGGTGAATTTGAAGAAGATCGAGATAGAAGCTTCGATTAGGAGTTATCGCAATTGGAGGTAAGTTTCATTGCAACCAAAATTATACCTTTTACCTCGTAATTATTTTGAATGTTTTAATGTACAATTTGAGTAATGTATTTATGTGTATTAAATTTGAGTAAATGTTATTCTATATGAAATTGTTTGTACTTGATATATTGGTTTGTTATTATTGGATTTTGATACAAGTTATTGTATATGATTTTTGGGAGATTTTCTATTGGTGAATATTTTGGTGTTGTTGTGAGTAAATTGGATTTTGAGAAAATATATGAGAATTTTAGCGTATTTTGAAAGATACGAACTTTTGATTGGATTTTGAGAAAAGCAAAGAAAAGTTAATATTTTTAATGGTGACACTAATGTCTATAAGACATAAATATTGATTTTTGGAAAGACAAGATAAAAGACTGTTTTCATAATTGGGGCACCACGGGAGAAATCCGTAGGTGTCGGGCCACCTTCACGTCCGTTAATGGTGAGGGAGGGTTAGGACTACTACTACTTGAATCAAGAAGTGTGAAACAAATTAAAGTAATTTTGGAGGGTTCGGTAACCACCCCGAACAACTGGGCATCAGATCCCTTTTTATTAGAGCAGTAGTAGTAGTACCTATTCTCTTAAGGGTCTTTGAACCTAGAACTTAGGGAGCATATCCCATTTGGAGTAGGGAGACGTTGACGTCAGAACTACTTAGACTTCATACTACTCGGAGGGCTTGGAATCCCTTTAGGGGGTGTGCACACTTAAGGTAGAAGTCTAGATTCTAATAGAGGAGATGAGGTACCGAGAGCAGATCGGAGTGACCGTACAAAACAACGGATCACTGGGCTCAAGAATCGAATAACGCTTGAGCACCGCCCTTCTAAATGAATTAGGAGAATTAGCTATAAAGCTATTTTGAGGTAAATCAAACGTTTTTTGGTATTTTACTCTTAAAGAGTTGGTTTAAAGAGTTGACTAAATACTTAATCATTTTATTAATTGTGAATTTCTAAAGTACAAATACTTGTGATATTGGTTTGGAAAATATATTTGTGGATATTGATTATGTGTTTTGTAAGGATTGTGATAAAGTGCTTAAGTGAGTTTTGAGATGGATATTTGAAGTTGTGTATATGATATATGCTTTGGAATATTTATGAGAATTTTTATTACATTTCTAATGTTGCAATTATTATGATTTGGAATATTATTATCTTACATATGAATTATGTTATGAGAATTTATTATAAATATTGTTTTACTTATGATTGGCATGAATGTTTTGAAAAGATTTTCCTCCCAAATGTTTTGCAAAAATTATATATATGTATCAAACGTGATTATTTTACGGGGTTGGGTGGGACTTACTTAGCATTTCCAGCTAATTTTTGTTTCTTTGTTTTTTCTTTCTTTTCCTGTACTTTATTTGTGCAGGAGATAAAGCTTGAGTATCTAGATGATGATGATGTTGATTCGAGAGAGCTTCCGCTAGAGAAAATGTAATTAGTAGATAACATTGTAGTTTAAATTAAATTTTTAAGACGTTTATTGGGTTTAATTGTTTCTGCGGTGATTAGCCTGTGCACTCAGTTAGGTTAGAGCCGAGTGTGGCGGTAACGCCCCTATTTCCCTTTTGATTTTTCCGCTGCATAACTCTGATGTTTTAAAATAAAATTGATATTTCTTTTGGATAAAGTATTATTTTTGGGCGGGAAATTTGGGGGTGTTACAAGTTGGTATCAGAGCCTAAGGTTTTATTTTCAAAGGGGATTTTCAAAATGTTTTCTAAAAGGTTAGAAAAAAATGACTAGGGAATAAGTAAGAACTTCTAGGATAAAAATGAAAATTTTAGGCGCGCGGTGAGCATGTGAGACTTAGATTTTGGTTGCAGTTGGATTGTGGTTCTTTTGATTTTCTTGGGATATGCTTAAGTGTGACATATCCATATTTATTTATTTGAGGATAACTTTGAAGTAATAGAGGAACTATTGAGATTACTTTATTAGAGACTTATTAGTTAGGGTAGTATCACGAATACTACTCGATAGATCTCGTATTTGTATTCTAAGTGATATCATTTTCATGGAGACAATAACGCATACGAGGGACATCATATAGGACAATGGCATCGTATTGAAGAACGTGGAATTGGTGGGTTTGGACCAAACTCAACCCGCCCAGACTATCGGGAATTGCTATGACAAAATCAACACCAACATTGTCTCAACAATCACATTGAAGCATTAAAATGCGTGGCAGCACAAAGTAATCACCGATTTATTTATTTAGTCCTAGAAGATCTCGTTACTCTTTATTATTTATTAACTCTACGAAACTATGAGCTACCCCGTGGATCACGAGTTGATACTGCTGTATCCTACATACGTCAAGAGGCGGATAACTTGTGCGCGACTACTGAACCAGCGCTGCGTAAACAACTTAACTTTTTCTGGGAGACGTTTAAGGAGGTCATGCAAGAAATATTCTAACTAGAGCACGTGAAAGTTATGAATTGAAGAACGAAGAATTCTTACACCTAAAGCAAGTGGATAGGATTGCCCAAGAGTACTATCCCAACTTCTTGGAGCTCACACGAAATGCACCCGCACTAGTTCCTGACAAATTTAGTAAGTCTAGGAAGATTATAAGCGTTCTAAATTTCGAGGTTCAGAAGACTATTTTCATTTTGGGATGTCCAACTCTGAACGAGACATACGCCAAAGTTGCCAACCATGATTGAGCACGACGACGCTAGAAGGATACAACCGAGGAGCAAAGGTAAGAAGGGCATCGAAGAAGAAACTAAACGACGAGACAAACGACACAAGCTAAATCAGTGAGGGGAGATCCGGAATGAGAACAAACAACAACAATCAAGGCTACAAGCGTAAGAAGAACTACTCCGCTCAAGACACACACTTCTACTGCATCATTTGTAACTTAACCTTCTTTGAGTAAGTTAAGTGCTTCGGGGACGAAGCATATTTTTAAGGGGGGTAGAATGTGACACCCTAAAAATTTAAGTACAAATAAAATAATAAAAATAATAATAAATAAATAAAATAAAATAAAATAAAATAAAATAGATAAATTTTCTAATCAGATAAATTTTAACATATGAAAAATGTGACATTTATGTTAAAATTGTGATTTCATAATGTAAAGCTAATAATAGTACAATGTTGACTTTATCATTCTAATAATACTACGTATTGATCAAGTCCATGCCCATACATCAAAAGGCAAACATATGCGTACTACATTACTACTATACGTGGTATATTATGCGCAAGTCTTAAAAAGGAAAACGGCTGAAAACCCTAGACCTAGAACATTCCTGTGAGTATGTATATAAACTACGAGTCTACAATCGGCTGAGTCACCGCATCCAAACCTGCGAAGAAAAAAAAAACCAGAAAGAACTATGAATCGCCTTCTGCTATCTCCGCCGAGGAACAGGAGGAACCGCCGCTTGGGTCGCGCCAATCTCATCGCCACCATTGCTGTAAAGAAAGAGAAACCGTCGACGCCGGAGAAGCTGTACTCGCCGCACCAGGCTGCTTTCTGTTGACGTCGCGAAGCCCAGGATGGACTGATAAAGTAACAAACGCCGGAGCGCCACAGTGGTTCACGCCGGAAAAGGGAAGAAGCCGGGAACGTGGCTGCTAGACCAAACTGTTGCCGGACTGCGGAGAAAGAAGAGCCGCCGATCTGCGTCGCTGGACCGTGCCGCCGACTGCTGTTGTTGACGATGGAGGAGTGATCGAAGA